ATACAGTAGAACCTCCATTATCCGGACCTCCATTATCCGGATTTTCGATTATCCGGATTGTTGAAAATAAACAAAAATTTTACGAATTTGCTGATTTGCACTTGGCGAATTACGACACTGTTTATGTACGTGATGGAATGCATAACTTTTTTTGTTTCAACAACGTCTCACCCGGCACAGTGGTCGTAAACTTTTAAATATATTTTACGTAGTAATAAAAATATAACTTGACATACGTATTTATAAATAATTTATATTCAAATTACATCATTTCTATGCCCAAGGGCGGCGTAAGGCATGGACGACGTGGGCCACCGCCTATGCCTGGCGGTCCGCGCCAGGCATAGGCGCCAGGAAGGGCCTCGCGCCTCGATGGTTTATGCATTACTTAAAAGCCGCGAACGCGACGAAAAAATTTTACTCGTCATAAAACGATAAATAGTTTGTCAAATTTTTATTCATAAAAATGCTGTTTCAACTGCTTTTTATTTTATAAAATCCGTCTTCTTGCGCCACCAGAGGGCCTTTTAAACAATAGGTAGTCTGTTAGCGCTGGTCAGTAGTAGTCCAAATTCAATACGAACGTTTGTTTCTTGAAAATTTTATCACGATTTAAATACAGTATTTACTTTTAATATTACCGATATGTCATCGAAAAGAAAACGTGTTGTATTATCATTAAAAGACAAAGTATTTGTTTCGATTATCCGGATTTTTCCTTATCCGGACTACCTTCATCCTCAATTAGTCCGGATAATCGAGGTTCTACTGTATTTGAAATATCTGATTTTTTCTGAATTCTACTTTTTCTTTTTTTATTTTATTATAAAATGAGATTTTATGAAGACTATAGAAAAATGAAATGGAATTTTGCATAAGTTATATACAAGAACCATTTGGAAATCAACCTCTAATGGTATGAAATAAAACAGGAAAAAAGGAAAACTATATTTATTATATAGTTTTCTTTACATACATACATAAAAAAGTTGCTTACATACATAAACAATTTTTAAGCATAATTGCCATATAAATCCAGACATTTATTACAGTGTGACACCTTCTTAACCTTCCTTGAAGAAGGTTGCTGTCAATGATATCAGCCACTTCTGAACATTATCCATCAGCTCTTCATTGTTGTCAAATTGCTGCAACCCCAACCAAATTTTTATTTTTGCAAACAAATGATAATCGCTCGGTGCAAGATTCAGACTGTAGGGTGGATAGTTGAACACTTTCCATTGAAACTGTTGGAGCAACCCTTTTGTGCATGCAGCTATGTGAGGGCATGCATTGTCACAAACCAAGGACCAAAACAATTTCTGAGGCCAACATGCCTCACTTCTTGTTCTGAATCACCTTTCAAATTTTTTTTAGGGTTTTGCAATACATACTCACAGTAATGGTTTTGCCTTATAAATTCTCTTATAGTCCTAAAAGACTATAGACATAAGCTTCTTAGGCTTGTTCTGCAAGGTCTTAGGCATCCATTATTTTGATTGACCCTTTGCATGTTCTCAGTAAATACATGTTTTATTGCCTGTTATGATCTTGTTCAGAAAATGTCATCATCTTTGTTATAGCACTGCAATAACTGCAATGCTATAACAAAGCATTGCAGTTATAGCATTGCAGAATAAAAGCAAATGGGGTCAGCATTGCAGTTATTGCAATGCTGACCCCATTTGCTTTTATTCTGTGATCTTCTGTAAGGTTTTTTTGGAACCAACCTGACACAAAACTTGTGATAACCTAGAGTCGAAGTCACAGTCTCATAGTGTTGTTTGCCCAATTGCAAGAAATTAACAAGACAGTTCTGATACTGTGAGCATTCGTTATCACAGACTGTCTTACTTATCCATCTTCATCATGCATATCTGTTTGTCCCTTTCAAAATTTCAGTACTGTTCCCTCACACAACCTTCACTCATGAACTTTTCTCCATTCACAGCACTCATCCATTGCAGGCAATGGATTTCAAACACACTCCATTCTTGAGCTTGCAAAAAACAAATTACAGTGCAAACCTCACATTTGGCAGGAACTTAGATTATACCAGAAATCATTCTTTGTTTGCTATAGACCAGACATCAAACACAGTGTCTTATCAATGAGGTTATGCAAGCCATATGACAGCTTTCTTCCGCATGTGTGTCATGGCACTGCAATCAACCACATGCTTGTACCAGCCAATCAGCGGTCAATTTTCAAACAGTCTGTGTATATTTTAGTGTCATTCTTTCATTCTTTTTTCATAATAAATTATAGAAATCTTTAAAGATATTTTTAATTTATTTGTTTAATTTAATAAATAAAAAGTAAATTTATTTTATATTAATAATTTTTAGATAAAGAAATAGAAAATCTTATTGTTAAATGTACTTCCTGTGGAGAACAAATTAATCATCATAATTCATCCTATGTTCGAAGACATTTGCATCTTGGTGTACTTATATGTTGTGTAAGTAGACTATATTTTTATTTAGAAAGATAATTTTTCTGTAAAAGCATGCTTTATTATTATTATTGTTGGGTTTTTTAGTCAGTTATACATGGTTGATACCAGTGGCTGTGTACTATGCTGGACCAGAGTCAAGGCATAGTAATCAAAACAAGACACAAATTAAATAAGTGTGTCTGTATTCAGGAATTTTTTAACAATATGACATGTATTCAGTATAGTGATCTTCTGTAGTGTGATTTATGTATTTCTATTCAATTGTAATGTTTCCAGGCTTGTGTGTGGTATGATGCCTGTAGAGGAGAGAACAACAGGTACAATAAGCACCATATCCATCCTCCACAGATGCCTTATTTCCTGGGCAAGTTCTGTGTACTTGCTAATTTTTTCAGTGTTTTGTATATTTTGTAATATATTTTGTATATTTTGTTATATAAGCATGTGTTTTGTATATTGTGAGTGTTTGGAATGGATATGTCTATAATGTATGTGAATTTATTGTGTTTGTCAGTGAGTCTGATGTCTGTTGTGGTAAATTGTTTTATCTGTGATTATGGCTCTGTCATAATACACTTTGTGCATGTTGTTTTCCAATACTGTCTGTGGAATATATTTGTAATATAGTTCGTGGATGTCTACCAAGTTGTGTTTCTTTGCAAGCTCTTGGTGTATTATATTTGCTACTTGATTATGTCTGGGTAAATAATCTGTCTGTGCCAAGAGCTTGCACCCAGAAGTGATGTGTTGTATAGTTTCTGGCATGATGTGACATTTTCTGCATGTGTCATTTGTGAGTGTTGTATCTTTGAGTATGTGTTTTATGTAGTTTTTAGTATTTATGACCTGATCCTATATGGCAATCATGAATCCTTCCGTCTCCCCAAAGAGGCATCCCCGATCTAACCAGCTGTTTGACGCAGTTTTGTCAACAAAATACTGGGCCAGGTCATAAGGATGCCTGCCATGGAGTGCCTTTAGAGCCCACGATTGCTTGATAGTGTCTATGCTTTTTGTGTGTTGTGTCATGTCTGTATGATGTGAGTGTAAGTTTAATGGCATGCTATTTGAGTCTACTAGAGTTACTGCTTTATGTAATTGTGATGTTTCTTGTTTACTGTAGAAAAACTCTCACAGTGACTGTATTTACTTGTAGTAAAGGTTAACTATGTCAATCAGGCCACGTCCACCATCTTTACGTGGAAGAATTAATCTTTCTGTGGCAGATTTAGGATGATGATGTTTATGCTTAGTAAGTGTTGTTCTTGTTTTCCTTTGGAGTTGCTCGAGATCTGTGTGAGTCCAATGTATAACTCCAAAAGAGTATATGAGTACTGGGATGACATATGTGTTTATTTCTTTAACTGTGTGTTTTGCATTTAACTGTGTTTTGAGAATAGTATTTAACCTACTTTGGTATTCTTTAATTAATCTTTGCTTTATTTGTGTATGTTCTGTTAGTTTGGCCTGTTGGAATCCTAAATACTTATAGAACTCGCCCTCTTTCATGGATTCAATAACGTCTCCATTTCCAAGTGCAAAATCTTCTTTCTTCAGGATTCCTTTTTCTATGTGTCGTTTTTTGCATTTGTCTAAGCCAAACTCCATTTGTATGTTTTTGGTGTATGAATGTGTGATTTGTAGGAGTTGATGAAATTGTTTCTGTGTGGATGCATAAAGTTTTATGTCGTCCATGTACATGAGATG